TTCATCCAGTGCTGTGGTGTTGTCTACAGCATACATCTCGCGATCTACGTGACGTTCGTATGGCGTCCCTTTGAGTTCTTCTAAAATTTTGCCTAATACGACATCAATCTTTGAATAAAATTGAATAGTATATGTAATGAAAATATTTATAGATTTTAAAACAAATAATATCATCCCATTAAACACTCACGGATTAACAATATCTCACCTTTGCCTGCTTCTCAGCATCACTCCCCGTGAGTAGGTCCTTGTGCGTCCCAATCAGACTAATCGTCGGAGATGCGATAATTCCATTGATCAAAGGTTTCTCCTCTGAGCCACGTAGCAGTACAGCATACTCATAAATCAGCCTTATCCAAAATATGATCATTTGCAGATTTGTCATCTCAAAATGTCCCTGCATATAAACAATATTGTAAGCATAATTAAAAATAGGGCTATGGATAAATTGATATACAATTAATTACAGTCTGAAATTAATTATTTCAGGAATGGGTTTCTTCCACTCAATGCATTTGACAATTTGTTTTACATTTTTATTATTATTGATTAAACTAATTAAAGTTAAACAATTGAGTTAATTAAATTTAATAGAATATTTAAATGGTTTACTTTTTTGGGATCTCTTCTTTTTGCCAGTTTATCCAAAGCATCTACCAAACTGAAAACAACTCCATAAGAATTTCCATCTGTAATAAAAATCTGGAAAGATATAGGACATACAAACTGTGAGAAAGTATTGTATTTATAACAAAGAGAGGTAAACAGTGGCGTATCTAGGAATCTTGAAGTGGGGGAGCTGATTGGAAGCCCGAAAGTGAAGCGGGAAGGGGTGGGGGAACTCGATAATCAGTTGGGGGCGCTAACTCGCAAAATAAGATGACTTTAGAAGTTTTTTAACAACGCACAACTTGACCATGATTGCGTATCTAACACCTCCTACACGCCACTACTGCAGTAATTTCAGCAAAATAATATTTTTGTATTCAATGCAGTGCAATTGTTATACAACACACTGGTACTGGTACGTCCTTGCAGTTATAAAGCGCAGTTCCTTTCCCTGGTCATTGGGTCCACATGCTAAGTGTTGCTGCTGGTAATCAGCACAGGAACAGGCAACCCCACCAGGTACCCATTTATACTCCTGGTTTCTATAAACACAATATCATACAATCACATCCTTTCAGTACTGCGTGCATAATGATGATAGATTTTCGCAGTAATGCACAAATTAGTGATTGCGTAACTGTATAAGGATTTTTACTGAATGTGCATTAAAAAAAATATATGGGCCTTGTCTGTATACGCTTTACGATTCATAGTCATAACGCGCGTATAATCGTTCACTTTAAATCTTTGAACTGCTTGTTTATCCTTCATACATTTTTCTTCGATTTTTAAGTCTCTGCTTCCATAAAAATCCACAAGCAAACATGGAAGATTAAGAAATTCAACGTTTTATCGTTTTATAAAATCCAAACGCGAATCCGGTTGAGGAATAGAAGCTGTCTCTTATACATAGAAGAGGGGGGGGGGGGTGGGGAGCGAACTGCTACTTACGCCCTCCCCCACTTTTTTCCCACTAATAGTTAACAAGTTAAATGCATATCAATGTTACGAGCTACTTACTTTTGAAACTTTTGTTTCCTCCCAACAACCCTCCCCCCACACCCCCATTTGACAAATTTTAGATTCCACCCCCGGAATCGCCACTTACCCGGTGAGTAATGTAATATTCAAGTTGGCCGGCATAGTCCCATATGCAAGTTACATCACTTGGCCCAGAACTCTTGTTGGCAAGTTTGTCGATGACTTTCTTGCGCATTTCATTAAGCTGATTGGTCGATACTCGCATTTCACGAAGCAGACCGGTAGATTCTCCCGTGTCTTCAGATATAGTTTTTTCTGAAAATAATTTAATAGTTAAATCAACATTGACAAAGGTGACAACACATTTTTTAAATATAGGTCTATAAATTAAGACATGTTTCGACGTGTCACCCATCATCATCAGGTGATAACACTTAAGCTACTACCGGTTTATACTACTGGTCAGATGTAGTCATGTATAGAGGTCATGATTACTATGCTAAGTCATGTATATAAGAATTAGAATGAAAGTGTGATATTGTAATGAATTGTTTATTTTTTAATGTAATTTATTGTGGTGATGACGGAAGTTGTATTCATTGTTAAGATGATGATTGTGATAATAATAAACGATGATAATGATGGTGATAGTGACGATGATGATGAGGGTGGTGACAACTTTAATTATGATGCTGATAATAATGATGGTTAACATGTTGAGGATGATACTGATGACAAAGAAGATGATGATAATAATGATAAAGATGATAAAGAAGATGATAATTATAATTCTAATATTATTATCGTTGATATTTTACACATATTATACATAGGCCTATCGAGGAAACAGGAATGCTTTATTTATTCCACAATTCAAAATCAAGTAAGCGATATTAGTCTAGATTTAACGCAACCAATTTATTAGTGGCAATGAAATTGAAGGTTGATTTGCAATTTCATTGGTAGCATTAAGTTGTTAGAGCTACCCTCTCAAAATATGTTGAATAAATAAATAATAAATGTTGATTTTTTTTTATGTACTGCTGGTAAAAAAAATACCCCTGCTGCAAAATCGCCTCTGGTTATGTTTTACATCTCCCGTATAACGTCGACATTCTAATATTTAACAAAGGGCCCAAAAAACTGTTGAATGCATATGCCTCAAGTCACTCACCCCCCCAATGCCAATAAATCGTGCTTTATTTAGGCTAGGCTGGGGCAGGCCTAGCCTAGTCTAGATGAGACCTAGGGCCTAGGCTAGCCTGCCTGTAGCACTGAAGATCACCAGTATTTAATTATTGAATATAAAAGTTGAACATTTTAAAAATATCATGATGAGAACATAATATGAATATAAGGTAGTATATTAAATTATCAAACGATCATCTGTTGAGATAGTATGCCATCCTGTAGTGTTTTTGTAGGGGGGGGGGGGGATGACTTGGGGATCATCTTAATAACCAACACTCACTGCATGTGAAGAGAGCTGAAAACTAGCTACAATGTACTTTGGGCTGCGGTACCTCTTGTGCAGGGATCGTCTAAAAAATTCCGTTTTTTAAATAAAAATGTTTTTCAAATTTTTCACTAGACAACCGGGTAACATGAGTAGTAAATAGGCTAGCTATTTTTACTAGACGTTGTACGCCGGGCTAGCACTAAATCGAGCCCTGGATCTAGATTTAATGCTACCATAGGTGTAATGCCTATGCGGCCACGACCCCTGTGTCCCCACCCATATGGTCCTCGATCTATAACTTTGACCAAATAAGGTTTTATGGATACATAATAGCATAATGTATCTCTGACATCGACTGTGGGACATAGGCCTATATCATAGGCCTACATATATTGTGGAGGATTAAAGGGCGTCCTGCCGGCCCGGGGCCCCAGCTGAATTTGTCATTTTTTTTTTTTTTTTTTTTTGTTTAATGGAGATATTTCACAATTTTAAATCTGTGGCATTTCCCGCCATCCAGAGGTGCCACAATTACAACCTTTATTACCTCAGCCCCAACTAGGGCTGATGTGGTTTCTCCCTGGTCTTCTATTTCAAATTTCTAGATCCACCACTGATATTATATCATTTTATTCGTCGTTAAAAATAACAAAGTCAAACATTACTAAAAAAAACGAGCACATCTAAAATTCCACTATGAAATTACGGAATGAGACCTAAAAAGGACCAAGCGGTGGCTCCAGAAATTTGCCTACAAGGGGTCT